GACAGCCACGAAAGAGTTGGACATCATGGTCGAGATAAAACATGGAAAGAAGTAAGCTAAAATTCACTACTTCTTCGCTGATTTTCGATGGTGTTCCTCTGTCATTAGGTTAATGATCAATATGCGTAGATACCACTCGAAGCAGTGAAAATATTTATCTCCCAGTGTGATGCGTGTAGTAATCGACAAGTATTTCCCAAACCATTAGCTAGTATGTTCTGACCTTAACATCAGAATACTATGAGCGAGAAGATTCAGAACGTATCAGAACATATCAGAACATGTTCATGATCCTGCGAATATATGTCGCAGGAATAAATGAAATGTAGGAGAATTTAAAATATTCCTAGGAATAAATGAAATTTTAATTTATTCCTATAGGGATAAATCAATTTTAATTTGAACTAGTTCATATTAAAATTTCATTTATTCCTAGGAATATTTTAAATTCTCCTACATTTCATTTATTCCTGCGACATATATTCGCAGGATCATGAACAGGCAATCGACGATCTAAATCCATTTGCACTTCGGGAAGTTGTAAAAAATTAGCCAAGCTTTTGTAAAATGGAATGTAGCAATACTTGATAATTTTGTCTTCTTTCACATGTTGTCCATTTATTTTCGTTTCATTAGTAACCTAAAATATTTCGGGTAGCTGATACGAATAGCACTTCCCAGGTCCAATAGACACGGTCGTAAACGAGCGTATACGGCCACGTACGGCGATATACATCAGCCGTATACGGCGGTCGTATTACGACGAAATACAGCGGTTTACGACTGACGTATACGACGAATTTCCTGTGACCTGTGTTTCTTGGAATTCCATCGCAAAATGTATTCTTATAAGTTTTCTGATATGAACTACTGTTCGTTATATGATCAAAATGGCACCAAATTGTTCTTTTGATCAACTATAGTCGATAATGGCGGCTGCATAGCACCTTATGTAGTTTTCCGATATTATGTGTGCAAAATATAAGTTAAAGCCATCAATATAGCTTTCTACAGATATAAACACAGAAAAGAGGAACGGCATGTGATAAACTTCAAGTCTAAACTGAGTTTTCATTTTAAAATAAAAATATCAGCTGAACGATCTCGACTTGAAAGCCAAATTGATCTCTTATCTATAGAAAGTCTCATCCTATCGCAACACTAATTAGGAACCGTCTAGTCCACCACTATTAACCATATACTGTTAAATCTCAACACAGAAATCTCCTAGCAACTACCATCGAACGTACAGTACTAAAACACTTTCTCAAATAACTTCTCTGCTTTATCCCGTATAACAAAAGCAGTTGAATTAAAGTTTGAGCTAATCAAAATCAATAACAACAACATTTCCCGAAACCCTTAATTTACCATCCCAACATACCGTTGCCTCTATCCCTTCACCAGCACAAAAAGTGCATAACAAATTATATGAGCCATGAGTAACCGTGACTCTTTCCATATTTGATTTTTTCTTTACAACTAACATTCACTAAAGAAAAGAAACTAAAGGAGTCATTGATAATCCTGAATCTTCACATATTCGATTTTCTTTAGAACTAAATTTCAGTAAAGAAACTGAACGAGTCATTAACGATCCAGAAACTTCCGATATTCGATTTTCTTTAAAACTAAAACTCGCTAAAGAAATTAAAAGTAAAGTCACTAATCGCTTAACCTTTACATATTTAATTTTATCTACGCCTCGAATGCACTAAATAAATTATAGGAGCCATTGATAATCCTAAATCTTCACACATTTCATTTTCCTTACAACTAATTTCACTAAAGAAACTAATGGAACCATTCACAATGCTCAAAAATCATCACAGATTCGATTTTCCGTACAATTAAAATTCACTAAAGAAATTAAAGCAGTCTTCCGATATTTCATTTTCTTTAAAACTAAAATTCGCTAAAGAAATTACAGAAATCATTGAGAATGCTGAATCATCACATGAAAATGAGATGGTTTTAAAAACGGTTTTATTTATAGTAATGATGTGTCGCGGCAGTTCATTTGTGCTGTTCGAGAAATTAGAGCAGATTGAAATAGTGCTTTCATTTCTTTCCCATCGTTCGTTCGTTCCGATCATTCATATATGACGCATAGCTATATTCTTGAATGTAGAGAAAAAAGAAACAAAACGAAAAAAGTTGCATGAGAGAGTCTCTCATATAAATTTTTTCGTTGTGCTTCTTTTTCTCTCTACGTTATTACTGATAATATTTTCGTCATCTATTTCTAGATTTTCTCCAGTACCACTGTTGATTTCATCTCTCATTGATGAATCATTTTCAACTTTTAATAATTCATATTCCGAATCAGTATCAGAATTTTGTTCATATATCGGTACTAAAAATAATGTAGATTCTAATAAAGAAACTCCGTATGGAACATTGTTCATGACATGTGGTAGAAAAGATAACGATGACTGAGCCGCATCATTGTTTAAGATTATATCATCATTGCTACGTTGCATTCGACGACTTTGTAAGTAATGATCTAGCATTTTACGTTTTTTGCCTTTAGCTATTTTGAGAGCTTCTTCTAAATCATCGGCATCCATATTAAATAAACAACTTTCGCTTCACTGTCTAAAAAATATGTCGATATAAGACTTAAAACGTATTGACCTAAACGATCTTCTACCTACACGAACAAGAATTACTGAATCAACATCGTTATTGTAAAAAGTATCGAGATTTCTGGAAAAAGCAGAAAGTTAAGACCCTTCTCTCAAAACCAAAACACAAATCTCTGGCAACTATTCTCCAAAATAACGTTCTTAGGACAGCGGACGAAACATAACTCCAAAACAATCTCTCCTTTTCTTGGCATGCACAATCATTTTCAACCAGGGGACAACATAATATGAACACTGTCTCTTCCCAGTTATCAGTGTTACCTATTTGCATTAACATACTATCATTTCGTTCATTAGAAAATCAGGCTCAAGCTCCGCGCTGAACCAAATGAGGCCAAAGGTGGGTTTTAGATGTAGAATTTTACAGCGAGCTTCTAATAATTACATCTTGAATTTTTGACAGAGCGCCACAGCAGCTGTGATTTTCATTAACAAATTTTAACTTCTTTTTCTGCTCTGTCGATCTTTCTCTTTTCTGCTTACCATTGCTTTTTATTTTCCTCTCTATAAACATAAAGTTTAAGGCCATACTGCTCGATATATACATCTAGATTTTGATTGGCGCATACACATTCAATCAGCAAAAATTGGCATTTCTGCTATATTTCGACTGATAAAATAAACTTAGTTTGAAAAGATAAAATATGTATCCACTAATAACTAGAATATTTTCTACCTTACAGAAACTGACGTGGAAAATACTTGAGAAATTAAAACGGTTAGAATATGCTGTACGCTTCATAATGAAGTATAAAATCAACGATTTCTAAAAAATGTAAAATAGATCCGATTTCAAACAAAATCAATATTTTACTAAACATTTTTGTATGTAATTGGTAGAGTTTTCATTAAGAAAAGTATAACCAAAGCAGCGGTTTTAATCATTTTGAATTTCCAACGTTTCGATTTATTAAAAAATCATTGTCAAGGATATATACAGA